TGGGATTAACCTTATTTTACTCTTCATGAAAGCCTCTACTGCAATTCTACATGTACATCTTTAAAGCAACGATGAATATATGTCTCAATAGATTCAAACTGAAACTACACTGTAAAAAACAATTCCGTTAAATTTGCGGTAATACAAACAGAAGCTGTGATTACCAGAAATTTACCGTAAAAAAATATGGTAGCAACATTTTAGGTTTTACAGAATTACCTTAAATTTACAGTAAAAAAAGGGGTTTTCACTATCTGATATAATGTTAATTTACCAACTTATTAAAGTGCCCATTTCTGTTTTGCACCATTGTAATACACTGACAACCACCAATCACAGTGGTTATGAGAGTCGCACGATGAATCAAAGCTCGTCAAAAGCAGCTTTTCCACAAGAGAGTTAATATTAATATAAAGAAAGCTGAAGAGTGTCATTCACACAAACACTATACACCATCATGGTAACACACATGACATTTTAAAAATGAGGACTGTTCATCAGGATTTAATCAGATCATAAAAAGATTCATCAAGAATAGAAATGTGTGATGTAAACAGAAGCCACTAAATATTTTAGTAAATAAAATAAAAAATTCAGTTATGCCATTATGATATTGCAACAAATTCTCATCCTTTGGCATCATATGTGACGCCATATGACATTTTTATGGGTGCCATGTGCGTAAGATTTTAACGAAATGTCAAAAGCGTCACATGTATGACGCCTTGGGATGAGAACGGGCTGGATATTACGTAAACATCGATATTTGCTAGTGCATTCTTTTTAAACAAAGCATTTTGACATGGAAACATAACACCATTTTAACCTTAAGTTTGGCAACCATTCAGAAGTGAAATTCTTTGAACTCAACTGTGACATGAAACTCCTTCTTCTTCAGAATGCAAACAAGCCAGTGGCACATGGTTGGGTTAGTTTATGGATGGGTACCGACCCTAAAACATACCTCCCTGTCTTGTCTTGCTATTTACTTGCTTCACTGCTAAAACAACCGAGGTTGACCAAAGTGCTTTATATAAAAGGAAAAAAACCGATGAAAACATATATTAACAAATCAAACATCTATCTCATAGAGATTACATGTTATAAGCTGCCAATGCTAAATGCTTTTTTTTGTTACTTTAGTTTGAGGTGAGCAGAATTGTGTTGCTATAAGTGCTTGAAACATATTTGGTTATTCCCCCAACCCATTAACTCAACTTTCAACTGAAAGGTAACACTTTCTATGAAGCCCAGGCTTATAGCCCCATTTATACTTATTTATTACTAAATATATTTATAAAGACTCATTAAGACCTATACTGCATTATAAGAACAGTTATTACATTTATATTATTTTTATAATTACATTTAAGTCATGCATTTGCTTTTTCAATGTGCATGCTCATAATCCATTATACACTGATTTATAAATGATCAAATATGAACTTGTTTAGTGTACCAATTAGTTGTCAAATATGTCTTTAATGGCTAATGTTTGCATTAGAGTTCATGAATGGTAATTTTGATTTGTTAAAATCTATATCTCCTCACCCATATGCATGGTATTGCTTATAGCAGTTTGGAATTATACTTTAAAAAGTTTTGCTAGTATGTAAGATTAAAAAAAGATTAAACATTTTTCCCAACTGGAAACAGAAATTATTGTTCATTTACAAGTAAACAACTTAAAATGTATAATGAGCACATCTTCATGATTTCTTAATATTTGCCTTAATAAGATTGCATCTTATGTTTTCACTTTACTTAAAGCCATCAGTTATGCATTTATAACTGTATTATCACTCACAATAAGTATTCATAAAAACACAACACACCTATTAATAACAATATTAGTAACAAAATTCTGTCACCAATTTGACAGAAATAAATCTGAATTACTAAATACCATTGTAACTATTATATAAGAACATTATAGCAATGCAGGTTGCATCTTTATAAATACTTTATAAATATAAATAATAAATAACCATAAGACTGACTAATTCATGCTTATAAATCAGTGTATAATGAATTATGAGTATGCACATTGAAAAAGCAAATGCATGACATAGTATATATATAAAAGTAATAAGTAATTATGTAAATAATATAAATATAACTATAACTGTTCTTATAATGCAGTATAGGTCTTAATGAGTATTTATAAACATATAGAATAGTAATACTTATAAATAAGTATAAATGAAGCTATAATTCATTATAAGCATGGGCTTCATAGAAAGTGTTACCAGAAAGTTGTTTTTTTAAGATGCAGAGAGGATTCTTATATTTTGATTTAAGAGTTTTTCCGGAAATGAACCTGCATGATTTTTTTTTTCTTCTCTGTGACACAAAAAGTAATATTAGTCATAAAAGTATCACTGTCTCTGTGGAGCCTTTGTCAGTTTTTACTTTTATGATAAAGTGCAGTGTGAATTTTCTGCTAAACGTCTCATTTTATGTTCTAGTTAACCAAGAAAATAACAGGTTTGGAATAATATGAAAGTGATTAAATAATAAGAGAATTTCTATTTTTTTTCTTTCTTTTTTTGTGGTGAACTATAATTTCAATGCACACTGTGCATGACAATATGTCCAAAATTCCTTACTGCGGTCGCAGCTTTGCTCACAGTAATCTAGCTTTGTGTCTTTGTGATTTGGAAAATTACAGACAATAAAAGAGAAAAGACATATACGAGGAAAGGCTCCATGCTGGAGTTCAAAGACAAATCTCGATTCAGATACAGGGGAAGTAGAGTGTGGAAAGATCAAAAGAAGAGTGATGTGAAAGGTCAGCGCTCAGTCGATCACAAGCGACTACATAAAGAGGCGTTCCTGCTAAGCAGTGCACAGCACAACCACAGAGAGCCAGAGCTGTGCAGACACCTGAAAGGGACATAGCGGAATGGAAACTCACACTTTGAAGAGAATGGGGAAGGGTGAAACACCTCAAAGCACCTGCATAGTGTGCCATTGCCTAATGGGAAATAAGCAATGGATCTATGACAATATAATTGTAAATTCAGCTCATGCCTCCACTAGGAAATTATTCTTATGCAGTGCATCTCTTTGAGAGAGTTTCAGTGGGTACTCTTAGCATTATTTATATGTTAAATACAAAGGACAGCAATTGTTTCATTTAACCTTCATTTTCCGTTGATACTGGTTGTTTGTTGTGTTTAGAGAGCCCAATGCTGTATGTATGGAATTGTTAATGCTATTTTTGTGAACAGCTGCACCAATGAGAATCAGACAGGTTTTTTCAATATATGCGAATTGTATCTAGTAAAAGTTTGTTATTTCTTATTTTATTATTCTGTGGAATGTTCATAATAGAACATTATGATGTCACACGCACACACACATACACACACACACACACACACAAATGATTCTATGAGCATTGAAGAACTAGAACAGGTATAAAGCTTTCAGATCGTTTCAGCACCACACAAAGTGGACAGCTCCCAATATTGTGATCCCTATTAGAACATGGTTATATTAAGAATATATATATATATATATATATATATATATATATATATATATATATATATGTATGCCTTATCTGACACCTGTACAATATTTTAATTGGCGTGACACTATTAAAATACCTCATTTTGATGTTTCGTCAGTTTCCCAAAAAGGATTAATAAAGTGCTATTCTAGGACAACGGTTCCCAACCCATTTCAACCTTAATAATTTTAAGTTATATGAACTCGTTACACTTTACAATAAGGTCTCATTTGTTGACATTAGTTAATGTATTAGCTAACATGAACGAACCATGAACAATCCATTTGTTACAGTATTTATTAATCTTTGTTAATGTTAGCTAATAAACAGACAGCTGTTCAGTGTTTGTTCATGTTAGTTGACAGTGCATTAACTAATGTTAACAAATACAACTTTTGATTTTAATACTGTATTAGTAAATGTTGAAATCAATATGAACTAAGATTAATAAATGCTGTAGAAGTGTTGTTCATTCTTAGTTCATGTTAACTAAACTAATGTCTACTAATGAACCTTATTGTAAAGAGTTACCACAAAACTAATTTGTATGGTTTAAATCAATTTAAATACCTCTTTAAGTTTACCACTTTTATAGTGTATATATTTTTTTATCTGTGATTTAAGATAGAGTCAGTGCATTGCATGCTTGTTATTTTCACTTCAAATGTAACTAAACACTCGATAGTGATTTGTTTGGTACCCTAAAATGAGCTTCATGTGATAACGTCTAAATTAAAAGGTTTTATTTAAGTCAAATTTAGCATTTGCATTAGAGCTTTTTACAATACAGATTGTTTCAAAGCAACTTTACAGTGATAACAGGAAAAGAATGCAACAAAACAGGAAAATAATGCAACAAAAAAATCAACCTGATATAGAACAAGGTAGTTTTGGATAGGATAGTATTTGGCAATATAAGAAGCAATATAAGGTGGTTTATTGTCATAATAATGAGAACAAGTGTTAGATCAGGTAAACATAGCTCCATATTGTAAAATTAACACATTTTCTTTTTTTTACAGCATTGCTGAATTCAGAGAGGCTGAGATTCCTAATATTATCACTTTTTAATGACGATAGTTTGAGTGGGAGCTGTCCACACCATGTGGTGCTGAAATGCTCCTTTGAAGCTTTGACCTGTCCTCTGCGTTTCTGCTCTAAGCTTAGCTGTTTCTTCAGAAATGTTGTAACAGTAGTAACACACACACACACACACACACACACACACACACACAACCTGTTAGCCGCCCGCACGTCACGAATAAATGCAGCATATGAGACAGGTGAATATAATATAATAAATCATAGATACAGAAAAGAAAAGGATAAAATGATCTGGATGCCAAATTAAAAAGTCTAGACTTCAACTTGACGCGACCTTTTAAAAGTAGAAGGTTCAGTTGTAATCAAGGAAGCTGTCTGCACTGCACGCTCAAACCGGTTCCTTAATTATAACAGGAGAGTGCTAGTTTTTTCGCGTCGTCGCTCGCATGCAGTGCAAGTAAAAGTTGAGGCGGCACGAAGTTTCAGTTCATGTATCGGTCTGCGCAGCTTCAGAGCTCTCTAGATCTTTCCATTTCATCTGCTCACATCTCTTTATGTTCCTCATCCTCTATCGATGGAGACTTCGATTCCCTCTTAAGAGAATATTTGGCAAATCCAGACGGTTTTGCGATGGGATCTTTTCTCTGGGAGTCTGAGAGGAATCAAGCACGTCCTCAAAGACCAACTGAGCAGTTATTTCGCTAGTTTCCTCACGGCGTTGCGACATACATCATTCAATCTTTATCGTGTGTATTTTTTTTCGTTTCTCTACACGGAGGTTTGACGTGGCGTCGACAGTTTTAATATTTATGAGAAAATCTGAATTCACGCGCCTGATTTGGATTATCCGTTTCCCAGGATACCGAACACTGAATCGATCGCGCGTCAACTAGAGACTTAATTTTCCGATTTTCCTGGACTTAAAGACTGCCGAAGGTGCTTTTGGAAATGAGCGGTCCGTTTTCAAAATGTCTTTTTTAAGAATCACTCGTGGAGAGAGACGTTTCCTCAGAGGACGGGAGGGTTTGTAACGCTGAATTTATCGCCGATTTCACGACACGCGTTTTCCATGGCTCCTGCGGTCAGATCGATTAAGCGTAAGGATGCGATTAACTGGCCGAGGATGTCGACAACTTTCTGGGCTGTGCTGCTGTTGACGGCGCTTCTGATCGTGTACTGCGGTGAGTTTGCGGTGTAGGCGATGCGTCTTCGATAGGTGTGTGTGGATGTGTAACACTTTATTGATGTGACCTTAAGGATGTTGTGTATGCCGTGTCACTCACAAATACACACATACAAACAAAGTCATGGAGGCTGATGGAAACGGAAATGTCAAAGCATGTCCTAGACATGACCATAATATATACATTTTTAACTTGCGCCTCAAGGAAAGGGACAATGTGTATTAGCATCTATCTTCTGGATCTTATGATAGGATTGTTAAGTATATTCCTTAATAAGAAAAAAAAACATATGAAATTACTTCTTCTAATTGCAAAGATACAGGAAAATAAATGCACAAGCCAACTCTGCATTACTCAAACACAGAGATATGCAAAGGCAGCTTATACAATCCCTCTAAACATGATATTTTGAAACCTCAGAGAGAATTCAGCTCTGGCCATGGTGTTCCTACACTAAAATACATTTTAAGCTGAAACTCAAAAGGAAAGTTGTGTGAAACAATAAGTAGATTGTTAGACTGTCACAGCAATTCGTACGTATTTTACTTGGTGGCAAATTCGTACGAATTCATACGACCTCACTCGTGCGAATTCGTACGATAATTGCGAAATCGTACATATTTTCCGAGTTGCCCGATTCGTATGAATTCGTACGAATGACCTACCCCTGACCCCGCCCCTAAATCTACCCATCACTGGGGTTTAGACAAATCGTACGAATTCGTGAAGTAGCCAACAGGGTACTACTCACTCATACGAATTGGTCGTGAGATAGCGTTGGGTTATCACAAATGTCTCTCATTGAAATGTAAAAGAAAAGGCCTTTCCTCTTAAAGAACTATATATCCAATGAAAGCTCAATTGATTCATTATTTTAGCTAATAATAGTCTGAATGAAACTTTCACTGACTCTCTAGCACTGTAGTCTTAGCACTGTAGTCCACATGACTGCACTAGAACACACACACACACACACACACACACACAGGTAAATTGAATGAAATGGACAAATATACACTCACACACCTGAATATGTCTAGAAATGTCACATTATTTTCATGTCCCAGGCCTGTCTGGGTGGCAGTACATCTGAAAGGATGCGTAGCCTGTGCGACTTTACCTCCAGTACCTTTCCATTTCCGAGCAAATATGGAAATATATTATGTAAATATGTGCATAGATGTTTCTGCATTCACTCAATTGATCTTCCTTGCGATACCATGATTTATTCTCCGCTTGGCTACAATCAATGTTCTGGATGTTTGTTGTGGGTTCGCAGTCGATTCTTTATTTTATTTTTTTTATTTGGGGGGGTGCCTGTTTTCTCTGTGTCTCTCTCTGTGCAAATCCTGCTTGTGCATCTCTGCCCCGACCCGCTTGTTGCCTGTGATATTAATCTTCATCTAGATGGGCTGCCCACCGAACGACATCTACGTCTGAGTCGCTGTCAAGACCCCAGACTGGCACCTCGCAGCTCGCCGAGGAGATTGAAAACATAAACGCAGGGACACGAAAACCAAGTTCTGATGGTTGATTTGTTTATTTATAGCTTGTGCGACGCGTGCACAAACACAACAGAAATTAGGTCTGCATTCCCACTAGTGAGTCATGCAGTCGCTTGCCTCTTTATATTAGCATCTCACAACAAAACAAGTCAAAGTATTCCCCTACAAATGTCATGGTTGTACAGGAGATTGGGTTTGTTTCGGAGAGCAACGGAGATAGGGAAACAGCAGAATGGTACTCGTGCTGTACCACAGCTGTACAAATTAATATCAAGCGATATGATATGATGACAAGGACTGTTTGTAATGACTGTTTAATGAATGATGTGGCTTTGTTCTGTCCGCTGGCTCCCTCCTCTGGATGCTATACTCGACACACGTTTTGTCTTTGTTAGAGCCACAGATGCATTGTTCAAACTCGCCGTAGAAACACAGAATACTTGCTATATTTGACACCTTTAGAATAACAAGTGTTAAATATTACAGTTTTTTTTCAACTGCTTACACACAAAATCCTTACTTGTCACACAATTTCTGAAACCTGACACTCAAACCCCAGAGCCACACACCAAATCTGCAAAACCACACATTAATTCTCAGCCTTCAACTTCAATTTCATAAAACACTTTTGGTAAACCACAACACACATTTATCTATGTTACACACACAAATCTAAGATCAATCATGCAAATTGTTGCGAGTTGTGTACTTCACTAAGCAGTCAGACTTATGATTTTCACTGAAACCACTGGTGGAAAACTCCTGAGACATAACTAGAGATCAAGATCATTGAGACTTGTGGGTCGACTCTTGGTCTAGTAAGCAACATCTTTGCAGGACCTTAAAACCACTCTAGCAACCACACTGTAAAAACCACCCAGCATCATAGCAGAGTAGAGTTCTGCATGGGCAAACATCATTCATTTTTTTCTGTATATATAAAAATGTAGTCATAGATTTAGTGTTGTTGTATTTTTTTCCCTTATAAATAACTATTAAACTGTATTATTTAATGTTTATAGTATTAATAATCTTAATGTTTTATAAATACATGATATTGACATTCAAATTTTATATACATATAAATAATTAACATTGTGGTATATATTATCTTAGTCAAGTCAAGTCACCTTTATTTATATAGCGCTTTTTACAATACAGATTGTTTCAAAGCAGCTTTACAGAGATAACAGGAAAATAATGCAACAAAGTTTGTTTCCAGGAGAAAATAGCTCCACAGTCCAGCTTAAGTGAGTTCAGTGATGGTTTATTTCTGTTGTAAAAAGTTATTAATTTAGTTCATTTATATATAGCCGCTCTGGAGAAAACAGTGATGTCATCATCATGCTCAGTTCAATATAATGGTGTCAATGCAGGCAGATCAATAATTTAGTTGGATATTATTAAATGTCCCCATTTAATATTAATTCATTATTCAGAGTAATAATCATGTAGGTAGGATGTAGTGTGTTTTTATGACTGTATATTTCTGCAAATGTTCAGACAGCCTGACCATCATTAAAGTCAGATGGTGCAGAGAGCATATGGTGCTCTATGAGTGTGTGTGTGTGTGTGCTGATATTCACTGGCTGTGTAAACAGATAGAGAGAGAGATCAAGAGAGAAAAATACCAATAGAAAGTGAGCTAAAACAGGGAAACCATAAAACACACACCAAAAGGAAGCAGACAAAGAAAGTGATGAGCGCACAATGGTCTCCTCCTCCATCACACATCCCACAGGGTCAATTACGTGCCCTGATGAATCATACCTGCTACAGGCCCGACCCGCATTGCCATAGCCCCGCCCACTGAAGGCATCCCACAATGCACTGCAGCGCATTCACACATCGCCCTCGAAAACAGCCCATGTAGTCTGACACGTTGCTTCAAACATTCACAAATGCGCACATGCACACTTTTCTCAGTGGTTATCATCAAGACCATTTAAGGGCATAAACAGAAGCCGTTTTTGGTAATTATAGACAGCTTTTGGATGTTGTTGTAAGTTTTGGTTACCAAAGCAGAAATAACCAAAAAGAGAGAGTGAGAAAAATAAATGGTGTATTTATGTGGTACAATAAGCATCCAATCATTATAATATCCTCGTCTATTTTAAAGCTAGCCGAATGCCACCCTGGCGTTTTATGTGTTTAACCACTGTCTGCATCAAAGGGTAAAGATGTGGGCTTGTGGAACCTGTCAAGTTTTTTTGTCAGGCCTAGTGAGCACATCATGAAACTCTTACGAAAATGGAGGCATCTTTATGGATGAATGTTTAATCAGCTCCGAGGACCTACAAGGTTTTTGGCAGGGACATATATACTCGCAAAGTTGAAATGTGTGTAGCACATTGTTGAAAGGCTGGATCTATAGCATACTAGAGCTGTTTCATACTACTGAATATGGTTTCCATCATTTATGAATGGATTTGTTTTTACATGTACTGTGTAAAAAAAAAAAAAAGAGAAGGATACACTGTAAAAATAATCCCGTTGTTTTTACGGAAAAAAATTGGCAGCTGTGGTTACCAGAACTTTACCGTCAAAAATACGGTATCAACGTTTTTGGTTTTACAGACTTAACTTAAAATTTACAGTAATAAACCGTACTTCATTATCTGATATAATGATAATTTACCAACCTATTGAAGTATTAATAACTGTTTTGTACCATTGTAACACACTGACAACCAACAATCATCACAGCAGTGATGAGTCACATGATAAATCAAAGATCATCACAAGCAATCTTCCACAAGAAAGTTAATATTATTATGTTGAAGCTGCACAGTGTTATTCGCACAAACATTAAACACCATCATGGTAACACACATGAAATTTTAAAAATGCAATAAACATTAATTTAACAACATTAAATGTAACATAAAACCCTAATGTACATAACTGATTAGAAAAGAACTAAGAAAACTAAGAAAAAACAGTTATTTCAACAAAAATAAATCAAATGTGAAGTGTCATGAAGGGAATTGTGGGAATATCAATTTACGTTTTTTCACTGTAAATTATACAATGAGTTGTTCTTTTCACTTTCAAAAAACTGTAAATTTAACGGTATTTTACAGTAAAATTACATTAAATGTACCGTTAGATCTATCAGTTATTTAACGTATATAGTAAGGTAACTTTCTGTTAACCAATTAACAGTTTTGAACTGCAGCATTTTTACAGTCTTTTACCGTAAAAATCACGATCAGTTTTTACAGTGTATTATACAACAACAGTTAGTTCCAGTCTGCTAATTTGATTGGATAACAGCACTGGAATGTTTCACTGTTGGTATCAGTGTTCACTTCTAATTCATGGTACTTAACATTACAAATGTTATTAAATGTGTAATTATCTAAAAAAAAAACTAAAAAAAAAACTAAAAAAAACAATAACATGGGCTTCCCGTGCCCATGGACTTTTATTTTGATATTCTTTTGTCTTGCTTTGCCTGTGTTCAGTACCGGTGTGTTTATTTCCTGTTTT